AGCTCAGCCGCTCTGAACCCTATGAAAATTATGCTTTCCCAATATGGTACATTCTTTCACTATAAACCTGTCATTTCTAGCCTATCTGAACTATTTAATAAATGGTAACCATAACATGGGTTACGCTCTTCCTAAGCGGGCCCTCCGCATCCTATCTCTGTCTTATCTCAAATGCCAATGGTTTGAATGTATCAGTATACACATTGGAAATGACGTTAAATCAAATAAACCCTTACCCTACTCACTTGGCCAGGCTTCAGAATCGTCCAGTGGGCAGTGCGCTCTTCACTCCAAGTTCCCTTTCTTTCAAATTTACCCCAAATTTTATATTTTACCCCTTTGAGTGTTGATTAATCACAATGAAACATTGTGACAGAGCACGAACTTGAGGTTACTAGAGTATTAAATAATCTAGGTCCTATTTAGGACTATATCTGAAAAATCCAAATTTGGCCAACGCCCACCAATAACAAATTTGATCATCAAAAAATGTATTGAATTAAAACGACTATAATGACAGCAACCTGTGTTATCATTATCAGCGACATCACAACATCAAATTAAGATTTAAATTTGATGCTCGGGAAGCGTGACTGCTTTTTCTCCTCAGTTGGTTTGGGATCAGTTTCAGTTGAGTTAATTTGTGTTTTTCTGAAACGAAAAATCTCTGGTTTTGGGTTTTCGCTCAATACTCCTATGCGTCGTCATCATGTTACAGTCAATATACATCAATGGACACCCATGGTTCCCTAGGTAGTCTGCGGTAAGAAACAAAAGGATTATAATTAATTTCAAGTTTTGAGAAATTCTGAGAACCTCTATATCGTTTTCCTATGGAAGGGGTGATTTGTGAAATGATCCACAAAAAATATGTGTCAATTTTTTTTGCCTTGATTTGTTTTCCGCCGATCTTGTTTTCCGCGCTGAGCACCAATGCTACACACGCACAGTGCTACGAACCTAGTGAAATCATGCGTTTTTTTATAATTGCGTGTATTTATTTATTTATTTGTTTATTCGTGAGTCAATCAAACCGTAGACTACATATTAACATTAGGACTTATGTTGTATGACTTATCAGGGTTCTGAACTATATTTTTAATTCTGTTGAGGGCATATTTAGGTCAATCATTTCACAATGATGATTACAAACAGTCATCATCTGATTTACCCGTCCAAATTTAGCGTTATTGGCCCGATGGCGATCTACTGCGAACAAGTGTCGATTGCGTAATTGTCGGGAAGGTACATACACATTAAATCATGACAATAGATCAGCTGAGTCAATGCGTTGCGCAATGATATTGTTCAGTAAAGAAATCTTTGCGTAATCCCGACGTTCTTTCAATGTTTGAATGCTGATCAACAATTAACGTGCTTCATATGACGGAAGAGGAAAAGCCGTTCAACCAACAATCAATACGAAACTAACGATTTTAAATTGGCTCACCACTTTAGTAGCCTATTGGTCCCAAGCAAACGATTAACGTACCCTATTCTAGTTGAAATTCTATTACTACACTATGTTTGTTTTGATTCGCTATGAAAGTTTGACAGATAACATCAGGGGTGTGTGGATTCATGCAGAACATGCAGGGGTGAGTGAAATAGCTTGGGACTGCTTGGGACCGTTGTTCTGGTACTGAGTGAGCCAAAAATAATAATGATTTTCTTCGGGACCCAGTGGTCTTAGAGTTACCTCTATGGTTCAACCTAACTTACGTAGTGCATATAATAAAAATTGCTTTTGGATTGACTCTATTCGTTATTCATGCATTTTCATATAAGGTGACCAAAGAACTCTTCAATATTCTAATATTGACCTCACATACGCAACGTAAAGTGATTTTATTGTATAAGGATCTTTAAAGTGGAGACGTTTATAAAATTAAGCATTTTGCCTGCTCTATGTACTATTGTGTTATAATGGTCCACAAATGTCAATTTAGAATCTAGAATAAAACCTAGATCTTTTGCATTTTCACATTTTTTAATATTTTCGTTACCTAATGTAATACGAAGATTTTGTTGGTTTAGTTTTCTACTGTACATTTTTCAATATTTATATTTATTAAAATGTTTATTGCCTCGAAAAATGACCCTATGCAAAATTTGAGCTCAATCGGACATGATTTAGGGGTAGCACAAACGCGTCAAAGTTTGACTTTTTTCACTCTCGAAAATCTCCCAAGGGGAGGGGGGGGGGGAGTACATGAAATTTCGGAAATAAAAAAAAAAAACTTGATGCCAAATGTCTTAAAAATGCATGAAACGTCAAGATTTGGTGGACCATCTCGATTTTTTTTTTTTTTTTTTTCAAAAATCGACTTTTTGGGACTTAGATTTTTTTCATGAGTTCTATATGGAATATAGAAGATTGATGAGTCGGCTTCTTCAACTGTTCACAATTGTCTCCAACCTGCTTATATATCGAATTAAACCACCATTTAGGATCTAATACGAAATAATTCACTAGGGTGGTCCAATTATTCTTCATTAGGGTGGTCTAGGGTGGTTGATTTCCGAAATTTCATGTACCCCTCCCCCTCCTTGGGAGATTTTCGAGAGTGAAAAAAGTCAAACTTTGACGCGTTTGCGCCACCCCTAAATCATGTCCGATTGAGCTCAAATTTTGCATAGGGTCATTTTTCAAGGCAATAAACATTTTGTATATGGTTTGTTAGCGAAATTGATGGTAAAATTTTTCCCATACATTCATTGGCAGTCTAGTGTCCTCGTTGTGTTGACTACGCTTGAAAATGAGAGGATTGTTTACCGTCACCAGTTGTTGTTTACAATTCTGCATTGCTGTACAATACTCTTCCGGTTGCTGTTGTTCAACTAATTTTGACGTGTTTCAAGTTAATGAGCATACCTTTTGCCGCACATATGCTTTAGTGGCCCAGTAGGTCGAATCCCGAAATGCTAAGGTAATTATTAGACATATAATAACAATATAAATATGTAAATCCAATTAGTCAGCATCTTGTTGTCCCATAAAAATATATAAGATATGAAGCTGTTTTCCATTATTTATTTTTTTTTTATAATAAAACTAGAAGGCCAAATAAGGGATTAAGAAGACTGCTTAAAAAGCTTTTAATTTATATAACTACAATTTGAGCTGATTAAAAGCTGAATAATCCATATTCTAGCTGAAGAAGCTTATTCTAACCTGAATAAGCTGTTGTGCAGCTTCCAATGTTTGTTGGGTATTTAGCTTTTGGCTGATTAAAATCACCAGTTTTAGATGTTCAAAAGCTTAACAAAGGTTAACGTGGTCTATGAACAACAATTATTCAAACTAAGGTTGAATTAAAATCTATTGAACAACACTTGTTAAGCATCAAATTATTATTTATTTATTTATTTTTTTTTTTATTATTATTATAGTCACTTTAACACTCTTGGGTCATTCGTGACTTGTCCGGGGGTGAGATTTGAACTCGTAACTTTGGCGTGAGAGGTATGGATGTTAACCACTACGCCAGGGTCGCCCCCGAGCATCAAATTATTACCTGGGCGTCTCTTGAGAAGATTTCGATACTATTATGTTTAAAGATGTAAGGAGCTGTCCATTTACCACGTGGGCAGTTTAGGGGGGATCCCAAGTACCATTTCCGGTTTTATTATGGTCCTCAAGTCCATTCCAAGCCCTCTTCAAAACCATGAAAAAACCGAAAATGTTGCTTGGTATGGAGAATGTCCACGGTCCATTAATTTTTATTCAAACTGGATGATTGTCCACGCAGGGGGATCATCCAAGTAACCAACAAGCCCGTTAATCGCCCTTTATGCTATATAACGCTGCTATACGACTGATTTAAAGTTCGAAAACCCTATATTTACCTTATATCGCAAAAAGGGCGATTATCGGGTAGTTAGCAGGCTTGGTGGTTACTTGGGCACCTCTCGAAAACTGCCCACGGCAGCCTCAAACTGAATAGTGTGTTTCTAAGAAAATGCCTGAGGAATATTTCAGAACTCTGTCAATCAGAAGATGTCTAAGCATGCTTTTGACATACAGCTAACTTTTGCAAGGTGTTCATCACAACTCATAAGTTCACAATTTGCACAATCTACAGTTGGGACCTCCCTTAGCTCAGTCGGTAAAGGCGCAGCTACAAAGCAAGACCATGCTGGAGGTGGCTGGGTTCAATTCCCGGTCCGGTCTAGGAATTTTTCGGGTTGGAAAATTTCTCGACTTCCCTGGGCATAGAAGTATGATTGAACTTGCCACACAATCATACCAATGCAAAAATGGTACAGGCATCGAAAGCTCTCAATTAATAACTGTGGAAGTGCATCTAGAACACTAAGTTGAGAGCACGCAATAAGCTAATATGCGATATGCAATAAGCTTGAAATGCGAAGAAGAAGAAGAATAAGAAGAAGAAGAAGACAGTTTTGATAATCTTAAGAAATTAGGTGAATCAACTTGAATGATTTCAATACAATATGATTGCAATAAACCTACCATGTGCCTTCATGTACATCCACATTCCATTGAAGATAAGAAGCGATTACAACTGTAATATGGTACCTACCTTATTCTAAACGTGATGTTCATCAATGTCCTCAAATTCTTGCTCATAAATAGTCAACATTTGTTTGTGGTTTGTGCGAGTCTGCTTTTTTAAAATACTAACAATCGTGATTGTGTTCCACTCTAGTGTTTGTGTGTGTGTGTGCCAAGCCAAAACTCTAACAAACCTGCATCGGTAAGTACTGAAATTTCAACTGTGTGCCTTTTACTTCCTGTACCGCAAAGTGCATGTCAATCAATCAATAATCAGCATCCGTCAAGTCGCTTCGCAGCTTCGTCGCCGCATCGCTCTCGCTCGCATGAATTCAACTACACAGCAAATCGCGCTTAATCAGCATCTCGCATCGCTTTGCCAGCACAATCCGTTTGTAGCCAACTTCTATTTCCGCTCGCATCGGTTCGAGTCCAACTTGAAATCTCAAACTCCGAAAAAATTGCTTCCTTTTGCCACCAGACCAACAATCGACCCCAGTTCAGGGTTACAATCGCTCGGCGACTTGCACTCCTAAGCCCCACCCACAGGAACCGGCCATCGCCACCAAGCTGCCACTATTCGTTGCCGTAAGTTTCGATCCTCTCGTTTGCCAAGAGCAGTCTCATTACCTTATGTATCATTCGATTGTAGCCCCTGAAGGACATTGCCGTCGTCAGTGGACAGCCGGCGCGTTTCGAGTGCATCGTCGCGTGCGATGCTACACCTGCGATTCGCTGGACCAAGAACAACGTACCGATCGACGAAAGCGGTCAGCGGTACTATCCGGAGTACCGGAATGGGCTGTGCCGCCTCTCGCTTCCGGTTGCCTACGAAGGTCGGTATTCCTGATGCATTCGAGTGAATAACTTCCATCATGGAATCCATTTCGTTTTAGGTGACGCTGGCAACTACAGCTGCCTAGCCGAGAACCACCTGGGTCACAACCAGACCTGTGCCGATCTGATCGTGATCGATAGCGACTGGAGAACGGCGTCCGTCGTGACGGATTTCTAGATTTTCATCTGAGAAAAAAGAGGAAGACGAGAGTTAACAGAAATTGGACACACGAAATTCATCAATTAAGAAACCAAAGAAGGAGAAAGGGATCGATAGCAAACAATTCGAACAGTTAATTAAAACAACGGAAAATCAGAAAGATATTAGGAAAATCGAAAAAAAAAATTCAACTGAGAAACAATCAGAACCATGTCAGAAACGCTGAAAGAAACGAAAGAAAATATGTTTGTTTTTATTTTAATCGTAAGCTTTTTCGTTTAAGTAACCATATGAGAAATGATGAAAGGAGAAAGAGTATAGTTTTCAAGAACTTTTTTCTTTTTATGTAAAGTGTTGCTTTTACTCGTTGTCTATTTAGTGGTTTTCTACGTCCCATTTTGTTCTTACTTATTTACGAAATGTGAAAGGAACCTCGTAAGTTATTTATTTTAGCTTATAATTTACTTACCCTCCCCCCCCCTCCCACCAACAGATTGATGTGGCAAAAAAATTATCACTTTTTCGTTTGGAGATTATATTCGATAACTGTAATTTACTCTATCTAGTCCTCCAATCAATCGTTGGAACGAGAAAAAAAAAAGTGAAAAATGTTCTTTGAAAATTTACCAAAAAAAACGCAGAAACTGAACCAGAACTAATCGACATGCAAAAAAAAATGTACTTGTTTGACCCCCGCTTTACCCAGTGGACGAAAAAAAAAATACGCTGATGATGATCTATAAATAATTTTGAAATGAAAATCTGAATGAGCTAGACATTAATTGTTTTTTCATCCCCCGAACATTTTTGTTTTTATCTGCCTCACACTTTATAATCATTCGGTCACTCAAAAATCGCTCACACAAACACTTGCATAAGCCGAAGGAATTTCCGTTTATCTTCTATTATTATGAAATTATCTTCGCGCTTCCGAATCATTTGAAACATGAGAAAACAGAAAATAAACGTTATGTAATATGGTCTTGCACCGCCCAAAGGGTTAACTATGTAAACAGCAGGTTGATTGAATAAAATCGAGATTAATTTAAAATAAAGCTGAGTAGACCAAATGGAGTTGAAAGAAAAACTGCTGCTCCAGAGTCATTGAATTGAAATTTACATTCGAGCCGGATATTCATCAGTATTTGGAACCTTGACTTCAGTACTGGCAATATTATGGTCATGGTGATAATTTAGAATCGTGGTTTAAAAGCTGATCAAGGTTGATGGTATATGTAAGTCAAACATTTTTTCCTGAACATTGCACTGACGATATCATCTTCCAATTTTCAATTGATTGAGCAATTGGTCAAACCATGGAAAATGATTTTGTATCGTACAATATAATAGGCAGTGTTGACCACCCTCTCAGGTCTCAGACCCAAATAGAGTAGATACTACTCATTAGATTTGTGGGATCATAATCAGAAAGTTCTGATACGCATTGGTAATCAATTGGTAATGGTAAATACTTACAAATAAAACAGTGATGTAAGGCATTTTACGTTGATCACCCCTACCGGTGACAACTTTTTCGTATTATATTAAATAGCATTATTCCACATTCTGGTCGCAATATACGGTAGAGCGCTACTTCGTCGTAATCGCCCATTGCCGTTCTATCGAGCAGAAAACATCAACGGTTTTTTTATGCGCTAGCTCACAAGCTACACAACAAAGCATACATGAGCGCAGTTAGGCCCTTATAATTCAGAACGCTAGAAACAGTGACTTCTTCTTTTTCTCTTGTTTTGGTCCTTAGTTGGCTCAATCCAACAGAACATTTTATGATAAGTTTCTGATCAGCTGATTTTTCAATTTATGAATGAACTTTGACATGAGGTAGTAACCTAACGGCTGTGAAAAGCAAAATTAATGTAAAATTCTGTCAGGCTGGCTCCTGTTATTTCGTAAAATGGACGATTGAATGTGTTATCAGGGTGGCCAGATTATTTTTTACCCTTCTTACAAAGAAGGGTATAGATATCACTTGAAAAACCGACTATCGATCCGAGGCCCGGAGGGCCGAGTGTCATATACCATTCGACTCAGCTCGACGAGATCGGAACATGTCTGTGTGTGTGTGTGTGTGTGTGTGTGTGTGTGTGTGTGTGTGTACGTGTGTATGTGTGTATGTGTGTGTGTATGTAACGAAATGAATGCGCTCACGGTTCTCAGCAACCGCTCAACCGATTTGGACAAACTCGGCGCCAAATGATAGGTCTTGTGGTCGCTATTGAACGGTTTTGGAATCGGTGAACCGGTTCCGGAGATATGGCCGGAATAAGATCCGGTGAATATGGGCCTTCACGCTGGATTTAACAGAAAACGTATCAAAACCATCATGCGACACATCAAATTACTACAGAATTCAAAAATAAGATCAATGCAAGTCGTGTTAAGTGTTCCAGACCACATTGGACACACTTGGACATGTTTCGGGTACCCCGGGGAAGTTGCTTGAATATGAATTGAATTAAAACCCATTAAATCACATTAAAATACGATGATAAGGTGATTGGTAGCCTCACCAAATAGGCTACACCCGGATATATTCCGGGTACCCCCAGGCAGTGGCGTAGCGTCACTGGATGACACGGGGGTGGGGGGCTTGGTCACTGATAATGACAATAAAATAAATAAACTTGAATAAGTAAGAAGGGTCTGATCACACCATAGGTGGATAAATTCGGGTTTTTTATTATCGGTAGGTTCTCAAAACTTTTGTCGGTAGACGCAAACCAATCCTCTGTTCATGAACATCGCAACGAATGTTAGAAATTGACCTGGGTGTATGGGGATGTAAGATTCGCTTACAATTATGTGGGATTCATCATCACAGGATGTTAGTGGAGACCGCATGAACCGAGGATACGATATACCTAGCTGCGGTCCAATGCAAGAAAATTGGAGACCAAAAAATGTAGAGTGTATTAGTGAGGTCAATTAGTTATGTCGAAAAAAAATAGGAATCAGATTGCCAACTGGACTCGAACCACGAACTTTGTGATCATTGGACCTGTGCTTTCTCCACTGCTTTCTCCATGCTCCTGATAGCCTAAAAGCAAACATGAAGCGCTCATTTTCTCGCATACTCGACTTCGTATGCTTTTTCTGCTGGAGAGATTCGAGGCAAGTGTGTGCGTCGTTCTACAATGTTCTACAATGTGCGTCGTTCTACAAGCTTACTGGTATAGTCGAAAGCGTAGATAGAACACGAAATAAAAAAGACAAAAAACCATTACATCGCCTCCATGGTCAATTTCTAACATTCGTTGCGATGTTCATGAACAGAGGATGATAGGAAACGGAACTAACATTCATTGTAATAGATTTTTGGTTTGCGTGTAGGTGTCCGACATTAGTTTTAAACACAAGGTAAACAGAAAGAGATTCATCGTACAACCATCGGTTCAATGATATGAGTAGTTCATACCCCTCAAAAATATGCGAATATTTACAATAACAATTAAGAATAACAAGTAAGTGCGAGTAGGACGAACGGAACACGGGAAAAAATCCGATCTCCGAAATTAGATACATAAGTCATGATTTCATGAACACAGCGTATTTTCATGTTATGAAAATACACCGTAACGCAGCAAACATTCCCAAAATCATGAATCATCCGAGTTGAAATTATGAGCTAAATTCATGGGTTTAACTTTTAACCAAAAATTTTAGAAAGATTAAAATAAAGCATCAGACTAGATTCGAACCAAAAACCTTGAAATTATTAAACCCATACTTTTGCCACTAGACTATCAGTACTTGTATAAGATGAAAGACAAAAGGCGTATAAGAGATACATATATAGTGTGGTTTATGAACACGGTTTGCCAAGTACGTGTAACGCTTGTAGCGGTCTTGATTCCACTGCATTATGAAATCATGAATTTCCATGGCTAAATCATGAATTCAGTGCCAACATTTCAAAGGGGCGTAATTGCATTTGTAAACAATGGCTTTATCCGTCAATTTCTCGCGAATAAAAGCTCACTCATGAAAAATAATGACACCAGCAGGTAGATGAATGTTTCCTCTACCAGCTAGTATTGTAATTTTGGAGATGTAAGATTTCATTCGCGAGAAATTGACGGCTTGAGTCATTGTTTACAAAAGCAATTACGCCCCTTTGAAATGTTTGCACTGAATTATTGTTACGATTTCATGGGATGGCAAGTTTTTTCATTTCATGATTTTTCATTCATGAAAATGGAATCGGATTTGTTCACGAAATCAAAAAAGGGAGAAACAGAAAATAGCATCAGACAGAGAAAGTTGATTAAACATTAAAAAAATCATTCGTACACGCTAAGAAAAAAGTACCCAACGGCGGCAAGTTCACTTTTACCAACTTTTGACTAGTTTTCCAAGTAACATTTTCAGCTTTATAAGCCAACTTTTCCAGCGTTTTGCTCTGAAGTACCTGAAAAAAGCTGCAGATAAATTAATTTTGATATCACATCAAAGTGAATGCACTTCAATCGTGTCAAAAATATGGTGTAAATATTACTTGCCAAAAGGGACAAAATTGTCATTAATACAGTGCATGAAGTGCATCCTCTTGGATGTAATATTAAATTTTATGTTTTGCTGTGAAGCAGAAGGTATCAACACAGTTTTGGAGAGCGTTCACTCAGCTTTTTCACAACCATTATTCAATTTGTCAGTCGCACTGAATAACAACAGCCAAAAAAAGCTAATGTCACTTTTATACACACATTTAGAAAAATCCATGTAAATTTAGGTGCTCTGAGACTGACATATACGAGCGTTAATTTTGACATAAAGTTGAGTCATATTATACGCGAAATTCAGCTCAATCAAACGTACTTTTCGAAGAGTAACGAACTTTTCAGTCTCGGAGCACTTAATTTTACATGACATGTTTGTTTACGTCTCATCCTTTTTATCAAAGATGGATTCACGTGTAAAACTAGGTTTTCTAAGTGTGCACATACTAATCAACTTACAACTTGTAGCTGCAAAACAAAGCTAATAAAGTGAATATAGGTATTACTCAATTGATGGCTTCTACGCAGCCAACCACTCTTGCTGAATAACATAAACATCAAAAGTGCTTTTTCAACAACTACCCAACCTGTACTCAGCTAATAAACTGTGTTAGCACTACTTTGGAAGCATTTTCACAGTCAACTAGGCTTATTTTTAGACGTGTGCAGTTTTACAGTTTTTACTCTGCTCCTTTACAAAGCTGAAGTAACTAGTCGAGAAAAGTGATTCATGTGCACTATTATAAAGCCTCTACTCAGCTATTTTGCTGTAGAAGGGCAGAATGATGTTTTTACATCATTTCAAAGTGTTGGCGTAGTACAGTTGGTAGTCTCAAGGTTTGCCAATGCGGTCGCCTCGAGTTCGATTCCAGGTTTCGATGCAGGGTAAATAATTTGGTGATGTCCTTATAACTAATTTCGATTAATTTAATTCACAGCAAACTTAATTCATTCCAAAAGCATAAACAATATTTAGAGAAAGCTGTGTAGTGATTATTGGATAACCGGGAAAAGGTTGCACATGCGTTTTTCAAGTTCACTCTTAACTAAACAGCTGTATAGAAGCGTTAATGGATATTCAAAAGAGCTTGTCACAACCGTCCCAACAGCCATAAGTAGCTGACTAAGTTCGCCAGATTTGCTTGTAAAGAGGTTGAGTAAAGTTTTCTCATATCGTTCAGAATTTGAATACAGCTTGAGGCTGCATAAATGAAATGAGTTAAGCGTTTACATTGTGAAAACTGTTAGTTGGGTTTTCTCCTTTTCATGTTGTCAAAAACGGAGGAGCAAACCCACCCCACAGGGGTAGTAAAGTGTGGGAACCCCCAACGTGTTGAGTATTATCATATTTACCTACTTTTGGGTACAACTAACTTACTTTTGGGTAGAAAGCTAGTGAAAAATTCCATACGAATTCCACACAAGTAACTGAAAACTACTTTGACCCGCTTTACCTATATTTGGGTCCTGCATCATAGTGCCGAGGTGAGTGAAAATAACTTACTTTTGGGGGCTTTTTTCTTACCGTACACGGAGAT